TCTGAACCGCCTCTATCTTCTTCGGATCAACCTTAATACCCTCGCTGGACACCACGTGCCCCAAGAAAGCCACTGAACTGAGCCAAAACTCACGCTTGGAGAATTTTGCATAAAGCTTCTCCTCTCTCAACCTATGCAATACAACCCTCAAATGCTCCGCGTTCTCCTCCTGACTACGCGAGTACACCAGAATATCATCAATGAATACTATAACGAACGAATCCAGATAAGGCCGAAATACAATGTTCATCAAATGCGTGAACGCTGCTGGGGCATTGGTCAGCCCGAAAGACATAACAAGAAACTCATAATGACCATATCTGGTCCTGAAGGCAGTCTTAAGAATATCTGAATCCCTGATATTCAACTGGTGATAACCCGAATGGAGATCAATCTTGGAGAACACCCTCGCTCCCTGAAGCTGGTAAAATAAATCATCAATGCGAGGCAAAGGATACTTGTTATTAATTGTTACCTTGTTCAACTGCCTATAATCGATGTACATTCACATTGTTCCATCCTTCTTCTTCACAAACAGAACTGGCGCACCCCAAGGTGACACACCAGGCCGAATGAACCCTTTATCTAGGAGTTCCTGAAGTTGCTCCTTCAATTCTTTCAACTTTGCTAGTGCCATACGATACGGAGGAATGGAAATGGGCTGAGTGCCCGGCACTAGGTCAATACCAAAATAAATATCCATGTCTGGTGGCATGCCCTGCAGGTCTGTAGGAAAAACATCGAGAAAATCCCTCACAACTGGAACAAAATCAATACTAGGAGTCTCAGCTCCAACATCCCTCACAAACGCTAGATATGAAAGACAACCCTTTCCCAACCATACACTGGGCCTTCAAGAAAGAGATCACACTACTAGGAACATAATTAGTCACACCACGCCACTCGATCTGCGGTACACCTGGCATAGCCAAAGTGACTGTCTTAGCATGACAGTCTAGAATAGCACGACACGGAGATAACTAATCCATGCCCAAAATGACATCAAAATCCACCATGGTCAATAGCAATAGATCCACTCGTGTCTCCAGACCCCCAATAGTCACTACACATGACCGGTACACACGGTCTAACAATAGTATCACCCACCGGGGTAGATACATGAACAAGTAAAACAAGATACTCCCGGGGCGTACCCAAATAATGAGCAAAATACGAGGACACATAAGAAAAGGTGGAACCGGGATCAAATAAAACAGAGACATCTCTATGGCAGACTGAAACAATACCTGTAATGACAACATCTGAAGTAATAGCATCTGGCCTTCCTGGAATAGCATAAAAATGAGCCTGGCCACCGCCTGATCGACCTCCCCCTCTGGGGCGACCCTTGGCTGCCTGACCTCCACCCTTAGCTGGATAGGCAGGTGGTGAAGTAACTGGAGTAGAAGTCGAGGGCTGACCCCTCTGCTGAGATGAGCTAGAAATACGACGAGGACACTGCCTCCACATATGCCGAAACTCTTCGCACTTAAAACAACTCCTAGGTGCTGGAGAAGGGGACTGAAGGGAACCCCTCACACCGAAGTGACTAGCAGATGCACCCGGCACAGAAGAACCCTGAGCTGAGGGGGCACGAGATGAACTTTGAGATGAGAGGGTGCTGAGTGATGACTGGCCCTGCTGAGCCCCATGATAACCACGACCTGAAGATATGCCCCACGATACTCTGGACAGGCCGACTGAGCAGTCCTGAAAGAAAGACCTCTACCCTACTGGAACTGGCCCCTCGAAGGAGCACCACTATAACTGCCCGATCCTCGAGGCCTCTTGGACTTCCTCTCCTCTCGATCCTAACGGTAAACCGTCTCAATCTCGCGAGCGATATCAACCACCTCCTCGAACGTTGCACCCAATACCCTCTCTCTAGTCATAAGAATACGGAGATGATAGTTAAGGCCGTCCACAAATCTCTTGGTCCTCTCACGATCTGACAGAATCATCAAGATGGTATGACGAGCCAACTCAAAAAACCTCCTCTCATACTGGGACACGGTCATATCCCCCTACTTCAACCACTCGAACTGCCTACGCAGCTCCTCTCTGCGGGACTGCGGCACATACTTCTCCAAGAAGAGAGTGGAGAACTGCTGCCAAGAAAGGGGTGCTGCACCGACAGGCCTACACCTCTAAAAATCCTCCCACCAAGTGAAGGCAGCCCTCGAGAACTGAAAGGTGTTAAATGCCACACCACTAGACTCAAGAATATCTGTTGTACGGACCATCTGCTGACACTTGTCTAGAAAACCCTGGGCATCCTCGCCCTTAGCACCACTGAATGACGGAGGCTGGAGTCTACCAAACCTCTCAAGATGACGCTGCTCATCATCCAGCATAACTGGTGTCATGAACTCCTGAGCTGGTGTAACCGGCTGGGCTAGAGGTGCCCCCGACGTCTGTAGTCCCTGCACTACCTGCTCAGGTGTGCGAGCAGCGGGGGTCTGATTGCCTCCCCCGGCCTATGAAGTAGCTGCTGCGGTAATGGCTGAAACTGCCTGAGCCAGGCCAGTGCAAACCGATAAGATCTGTGCAAAGGCCTCCTGAAGACCCGGGATCACAATGGGCACAGCTGGTGCCTAAACTGGTGCTGTTGGAGCATCCATAGCTGGAGCCTGATCCTGAGATTGGGCAACTGGTGGATCAACAGGTGATGCCTTCGCTGCTCTGCATCTACCACGACCACGACCGCATCCTCGGCCTCTGTGGATCCGCAAGACTCTACTAAACTGGCTCATGACTTGCGAGACCTATGTAACCTAGGCTCTGATACCAACTTGTCACGACCACAAACATTGGTTGTGATGGCGCCCAACACATTTCTAGGCAAGCTGGACCAACTATCAACCACACCCCATTTTCTTATAAAATCCATTATCAGCTAACACAGTTTAATTACGAATTTATCATACTAGATGTTTAAAATAGCAAGTTAGATATGCGGTAGTCAAAGAGATAATACTGATACGCAGCCCACACTAATTTGGTGTCACAAGTCTCGAGCCTCTAATAGAAGTTCAAGAACCTTCTACATAAAACAGTCTAGGAAATGCAGAAAACAATAGAATAGAAAGGAGAAATCAGGGCTGCGGACGCCATGCAGCTATCTTGATATCCCCGAATAATGCTGATCGACTGGAAAACTCTCACTCAGCCTCTGGAACACCTAGATCTGCACGCAAGGTGCAGGGAGTAATGTGAGTACTCTGACGCAGTGAGTAATAAGCATAAATAACGACTGAAAATAAGAAATCACGTATACACAGGGTAATCTATAATGCGGCAGTTAAACGAGTAATATGAAAGCAATAAACCAATGAAAAGCTGAATAAGATAATTCAACAACAGAGAAGCAGTTAATTGTCAGGCAGTTAAAGAAAGTAAACACATAGAACAGTACCAGCCCATCGGGCTCTCTCTCTCTCGTATCACAACTGGGTACCCGCGCTAACTGGTGGTGTGCACACTCCGGAGTGGCCCCTTACGACCCAAGCGCTATATCAAGACATCTCGTGGCATCAAATCTAGCCCCCCCGGCCTCATATCACTCAAGCAACCTCGTGGCGTATATATGTATCTCAGGCCCTCGGCCTCATATCAGTATCAGTGTATTCTCACATCTAGCCCTCGGCCGTACTCAGTCCAAAAATTACATATGCCCCTCGTGTATTACTAAAACAGTAGTTCTCAGCCCAAAACATCATTTAAAATATCATTTAAGTTTCTAAAAACCAAGTAAAAGTGGTTGAGTAGTAAAACAGTGGAAAACAGCATAACTAAGTACACATTTAAAGTCGAAACAGTGAGGAGATATCAATAAAAAATCCCAGAAGGTTTCAAATAGTTGGCACGAAACCCAAATATGACAATCAGTCCAAATCATGATGATAACAAATAAGTTTCAGTCAAATACGCGATAAAATCATCAATCGGGACGGACCAAGTCACAATCCCCAATAGTAAACGACCCCATGCTCATCATCAAGCGCGCGTCTCACCTCAATATAGCACTACGATGTGCAATCCGGAGTTTCACACCCTCAGGACATCATTTACAATCATTACTCACCTCGAACCGGCTACAACTCTAGCTCGTGATACCTTTGCCCCTCGAATAGGCCTCCAGACACGTCGAATCTTTCCAAAACTAGAACGAATACATCACAATATGCTAAGTAAACAAAGCCAGGCGAAAACAATCGAAAAACGTAAAAAATCCCGAAATTAGCAATACCCAAACCCCGGGCCCACTTCTCGAAACTCCGGAATTTTCATATCATTGGATTCCTTATCACCCCACGAGTTCATAAATATCAAAAGTTCGCAAATCCGACCTCAAATGGTCCTTCAAATCCCAATTCAAAAGTTCAAAATCCCAAGCCCTAGTTCTTCCATTTTTAGCTTAAGTTCCGTGAATTTCTAGGTTAATTTCACAATAGAAACACGTTTTATGCTCCGAAATCTTACCTCCAATCAATTCTCCTTGAATCCCTCTTTAATCACCTTCAAAAAGCTCTCAAAATGCTCAGCTATGGAGGAAAAATGACCCAAAATCGCGGATGAAATAACATAAAAACTTTCTGCCTGGTTCTGATCCTCCCTCATTGCGATCGCAACCTTAGCCTCGCGATCACGAAGTACACTTTAAATTTCCTAAAATTTAACCTTATGCGAATGCATATCTCCCTCTGCGAACGTGATGCACCAGTCTTTACACTTACGCGAATGCGTTCCCTCACACGCGAACGCGAAGAACAATTTCTCTTGGACCCCATTTCTTCATACACAAATGCGACAGCCTCACCCGAACGTGAAGCACCAGCTCCCAGCCTTACGCGAACGCGAGGCCACCTATGCGAATGCAAAGGGAAAATTTCTTGCCTTCCAAATTCCTCCTACGCGATCGCGATATACCCCACGCGATCGCGAAGGCTTAAATGCCTGCAACACCTAAACAGAAAATCTGCAACTTCTAACTACAAAAAATGATCCGATTGACCATCCGAAACTCACCCGAGGCCCCCGAGCTTGATGAGAGTGAAGATGAGAAGAAAAAGCAGGAAGAATTGAAGGAGAAGTTCGAGGGACTGTGCAAGGTCATCACGGATGTACTAGGAGACAAGGTAGAGAAGGTTGTTGTCTCTGACCATGTTGTGGGCTCTCCCTGCTGCTTAGTCACTAGGGAGTATGGCTGGACTGCTAATATGGAGAGAATCATGAAGGCACAAGCACTCAAGGACTCTTGCATGGCTGGATACATGTCTAGCAAGAAGACCATGGAGATCAACCCAGAGAATGCTATTATAGAAGAGCTGAGGAAGAGGACTGATGCAGACAAGAATGACAAGTCTGTGAAGGAGTTGGTTCTCTTGCTGTTTGAGACTGCCTTTCTCACCTCGGGTTTCAGCCTTGAGGAACCTAACACCTTTGGCAACAGAACCTAACACCTTTAGATCTTCATAGCTTCCAGAAAAAGAAAAAAATTCCTATCACACATTCCTGATTTGCTTTAGATCATCAAATTCCTACCACACATTCTTGATTTACGTGGTTTAACGGACACAATAATCTCAATAATCTTGTACCACGTCACATAAATGCACCCGCTGTCTACGACATATTTTATCTAACATTGTTGAGATTTGGATTTTGGTCACATAAATGCGCACCCGAGTTTAGGAAAATAATTTTTAAATCGAGTCTAAAGCAACTACGCACTTTCAACTTTGCGAGGGCCATGTAAATTCAACTAAATGGCACGCCTCGATTTCTTAAGATTCAGGATTAATTAAATGAGGGCCATGCATTTTGAGATTTCATTTGGCACGGCACACCTCAATTTTGTTAAAGGAACAAGTATCCAACTAAGTGAACTACGGATATGCATATTCAAAACTAATTTGAAATTAAATATCACAACCACACCACGGGAACCGAACTCGTGATTTATTTGTACCTAAAGCTTGGTCACCATTTTAGCGTCTGATACTGTCCAAGTATGAACAGATCCATCAACAGAACCAGCAGCAACAAGCTTGGTTATTAAAGGTTATTAAACTCATTTAAAGTAGACTAGCTATAGCTAAACCCAACTAAGCTTAGTAGAATTCATTTTGTTATCATCCCAAACGAAAGACAGCAAATTCCTTTATTGAAACAATTTCACCAAGAATTAATCCCAAGTCCAATTATCATTGTTTTAAAGTGAAAGCATATGACCTGTTAAGACTAAAGATAGAAATAACGTTATAATGAAAAAGGCTATGCAAGAATGGCAAAATGCAAATAGAGTAACACGTTAAACATCTTGCTCGACAGTAAAGCTTTCCAAAACCACTTACAGTTAATCGAGGGACAAGAAATCCGGCGATGAGTGTAAGGCCCCGGAAAATCACTAGAAGAAAAAGCTTTTTTTACGACCAACTTTTAGGGACGAGTTAATAATCCCGTCGCAAAAAATATATTTATTGGGACGAGATTATACTGCGGTCCTTAATGCTATATTTTATTGCGAAGGTAGCAAATCTAGTCCCTAGAAAAAGTAGTAACTGTTAAGACTAAAGATAGAAATAACGTTATAATGAAAAAGGCTATGCAAGAATGGCAAAATGCAAATAGAGTAACACATTAAACATCTTGCTCGACAGTAAAGCTTTCCAAAACCACTTACAGTTAATCGAGGGACAAGAAATCCGGAGATGAGTGTAAGGCCCGGAAAATCACTACAAGAAAAAGCCTTTTTTACGGCCAATTTATAGGGACGAGTTAATAATCCCTTCGCAAAAAATATATTTATTGGGACGAGATTATATTGCGGCCCTTAATGCTATATTTTATTGCGAAGGTAGCAAATCTAGTCCCTAAAAAAAGTAGTAACTGGTCCTAAATTATAATTGAGGGGCATTAAGCGTGAGAGTGTGCCGCCAAATCTAATACAAAAATATTTAAAAAAAATTATTTTTTTGTGAAAAATCAGGCGCCAAAACTAATATATAAAAAGTTTTAAAAATTAAAGATACTCTCAATTCTCAAAAAACAAGTCGCACCAAGCTCTGCTCTAGTTTCCGCCAAGCTCTTTACCGTCGCCTTTATCTGTGTTTTCTCAAAATAAAAGTTGTGAATCTGGTTGTGCTTGAATTTTCCCAAGTTTTCCATCTCGCTCGTTGAGAATCTGTGGTATGTTTAAAGTTTCTTTGTTTCAGTGATGTAGTTTACAACATATTGGGGGAAAAGATTGTTCTTCTCAAATTTTTTGTCCGAACTTTTGGAAGTATCATCTACCTCTATTGTAGTGGTGCTATACAACTGATGCCAGAAGAAAATTTTGGTGCTAAATTTTGGTGAAAATTTTGACGCCAGAAGAAAATTTTTTGTCCGAACTTTTGGAAGTATCAATTTCCTGTGGTAGTGGTGCTATACAACTGAATTTGGAAGTATCATCTACCTCTGTTGTTTGGGATTTTATCGCTACTAGAAAGTAGATAAAATCCATGCTTTTTCAATAGATTGGATGTCTGATTAGCTGTTATAGAACCTTTCATTCTTCTGATTAAAATATGTTTTCCCTCTTTCAGGTTGCTTTGTTTCGCTGATTGCTTCGCTTATTCGAGTTCTTCGATCTTCTTCTTCTTCCCAAACATAAAATTTTTGGTAAGGTTTCATATTTTGATATTTTTTCTTTTGCAAAATCAGTGAAAAGATTATTGGGATGGGATTCCTAATTTGATAATTTAATTTTCTGAAGTTTATTTAAAATTGCGATTCGGTATTTTCAGTGGCAGATATTAATTGCCTTATTTTGCTTCGTAATGTGTGTTTCTGCCTTCCTCGTGGCTTAACTAACCCCTGTAACTAGCAATCTGGTTTGTGTACTATAGAAGAGTGCCGAAAGCACCTTCTTGAATTGCTAATATTGTAGTTGGTGAGAATGATAAAGATAGCGAGAACATTGATTACTATGGAGTTTTAACAAATGTGATTGAATTACAATTTCTCATGGGTAGAAGTGTGATTTTATTTCGATGTGATTGGTTTGATGTGTATGATAAAATAAAAGGAGTTAAAAAGGATGAATATGATTTCGTGAGTGTTAATCCAGGGAGATTTTTGAAAACAAATGAGCCTTTTGTTTTAGCAGAGCAAGCATCTCAAGTGTTTTATGCTAATGATAATTCCAACAAAGGTTGGCATGTAGTGAGGAAGACTCAACCTCGTGATTCATATGAGATTGTGAAACAAATGGATGATGATATTGTAGACTTAGAAAATCCTTCACTAAAGAAAAGAAAAAGAAATGATGAGGTGAAGTATCTCTTTATGAATTAGTATATTCATTCTACATATTCTTATGTCATGATTCTTTTGATATTACAATTGTCACACATTTTTTCTCCATCTATTTTTACTTTTGGCTCTTTTCAGGTTAAATATGAAGCCATTAAAGATTGAAAATGAGGTGGGATCAACTATGAAGACTACTGCCAAATATGCATTCGTTCCCCCAGGTGCTATAAGAAAGGGACAAGGACGAGGATGAGGACTTAGATCTTTGGTTGAGAAAGAGAATATGGTAACTAAGAGTTTTTTCCCTCAATCTAGTGACCTTGTTAAGCAATACATCCAAACAATTGAAACAAGTAAGATTTTTTAAATCTAATGTTTATCATTTGCATAACTGAATTTAAATGCTTAGGCGTAGGCATTCTCTAATTTTGTGTACACAATGTAACTTGAGCCTTTCCACAATGTAAGTATTGAAACTACTGAGAGCTTTGTGTTACTGACAGTTGTTATAAGCCGCTGTTGAACAGACTTTCTGAGGTTTAATGTGTCCTTTGTTTTGTGTATTCGTATTATGTTTGAATAGCATGGTACAGTACCATTGTGTTCTTCAAAAGTTCATATGGTAATATGATTTTGTCGTCAGCTCTATAGGGAAGGGACGACGACAAGGGATTAAAAACTCTACCATGTCTGCCAGTCAAGGAATGATACATAAAAAACCCATCGTTCTTGAGAAAGAATATATGCACATTGATATTCCATTGCCTTCAACTACTGATCAAGTTAAGCAATAAACCCAAAAAGTTGAAACAAGTACGTTTCTCTAAATCTGTTGTATTTTTAATTGCATATATAACTGAAATTAAATGCCAAATCTTTTACTAATATGAATTTTTTGGTCCAGGTGCTATAGGGAAGGGATGTTTCCATAAGAGTGTCCTTTCTGGTAATCAATGTATTCAAACTCCTTCTAAAAGCACAAGATCGAATTTTATCATGTCTCCTGATCAAGAAATGCGAAAAATAGACAAAAAATCCTTGGTTGTTGATAAAGAGCATATGAAAACCAAAATTTCAGTGCCTCCATCTAGTGATGAAGTTATGCAACACTCCCAAACAACTGAAGCAGGTATGATATTTTGAAGAGTGCTGTTATTAATTTGTAGACCAGAATTTAATTTCTATAGTTTTTACCAAATTATGCAGCCGTAGGTTCTTCATCTAATCGTGGAAAGGTAAAAAAAGTCCGAGGGAGGAACAAGTGAAAAGAAGTTGCATCACTTGAAGTCGGACAAAAGCTGAAACTAACTGTCACACCTCCTTTTTTACACACCCACCCCGAAGGAGAATGTATAAGGGAGTTTTTCCATTTAAAGTGACATTATTCGAAATGGGATTATTTATTTATTTTTCAGAGTCGCCACTTGGGATAGGTTTGGCTTTTGGTGTCCCAAGTCACCGGTTTATCTTGAATCCCAAATCGAGGAAAATTTCGACTTCCCAATTGGAGTCTGCGAACCAGAAATTCTGAATAAGGAATTCTGTTGACCCGAGGGAAGGTGTTAGGCACCCCCGGATCCCGTGGTTCTAGCACGGTCGCTTAAATTATTATAAATGGCTAAAAATCTGGTTCTTATACATGCTCCAACCTATAGTGCAATTTTATAAATTTGTTTAACCGCTTTTAATTAGTTTTTTTATGAAAGTGAACGCCGTTTAAGAGCGTGTTTTAGGATCACGTCACATGAAATGCACTCGGATCCTCGACACCTCTTATTCAACGTTTTGGGATTTGGATTTGGGCCACATAAATGTGCACCCGTATTTAAGAAGGTAAGATTATTAAAAAGCGCACCTAAAATGGCTAGCGTCTTATTAACTTTGCGAGGGCCATGAAAATTCGCTAAATGGCACGCCTCGAATTCTAAGGATTTTAAAAGAAATAACTAAATGAGGGCCATGCAATTGTCATTTTATTTGGCACGGCACGCCACAAATTATTTAACGAGAAAAGACAAAAATAAACAGATTTCGCCAATTTTACCAAGAATCAAAACACGATATCAACCACTAATTGATGTACCAAAAAAAAGTTTTTTTAAAACAAAAAATAAAAATAAAAAAATTCTCATGAAGCACACATGATACAAACATACGTTGA